GAACCTGAGATGTGCATTCGACCATCATTTTTCTATACCATAAATACTACGCTGTATCTTTATATACAGAAAACTAAAGAGACTTTTTGGTGATGTATTCTTGTTTGTTGAGCCCATTCAGGTGCGAGGGAGATGTCTTCACTTGTGCATTGACTTGTCATGGGTTTTGTTCGTGAAGTTATACTGCAGCCGAATATTTATCAACAAAGAACCGAGGACTGTCTATAATGGTCGTCTACGAATAAGAATATCTTTGCCTGCTCCGACTCGGTGTTTATAGGGTACAGCTATAGTTGGTTTAAATTCATTGTGCACAAAATCACATAGATTTGGAGCGTGAAACATGCGCTCGTTTTTGGTGCGAGATCATCACGTACAGGGATGCAGGGGTAGAGTCAGACTAGCGCATGTCAGTGGCGGAAATTAACATGCATGTAATATACACAAAAGTAAGACGTCGAATATACGGTTAGCTATTAGATGCTGGGTATATGGTCCTGCAACGCTTGGGGTAGCCACACCGTTCAACATGAGCGGGTAAAATCCAAACGAAGAGCCTCCCTTAAGGATAAATATATGGCATACGGTGCATTGGCTATGACCCATGTACATGGCTGTGGCTGCATGCGTACTTTGTTGTTGAGAGCATATGTCTGATGCGTCTAAGCTCAGACGCCTTAGCTTAAGTAGCCAATGAGAATCGCGAGTGTTATATTGCGCATAATTCCGGTAGCAATGTCTCATTCGCATACTGTTCAGGTGTACCACCGGGATTTTCACTTCGAGGTTTTGTGCATACAAAACACAGATGTCACCTGTGTGTGCGTGCGCTGTGAACTGCTCCGATTTCCCCCTACATCTATTACCGTATCGTCACACACTCTCATTAACCAATATAAAGTTTCATCTGCTGACAACTAATAATGTCAATTTGAACCCCTCAGAAAGGCACACGGAGCTCAGGGTGAAGGAGATGTTGAGATCGAAGCCAACCGGATTGTTCTGGGAGAGCAGCCCACCGATACCACAGCCAATGTACACGCGCATAAAAGAGTGAAGCATGCGCTGGAGCCTTCTGAGTTGGCGAAGCCGATAGTGACACACAACAATGAGTTACAGGGGGTACAATCACAGCAAACAGGTAGGTGTAAAAATAACATAATTATATATATATATATATGTATATGTATTTGTATATATATATATATAGCTGGCACAGTACATCTAACGTAGGTAACTGCGGCAACAGGATACCTCAATAAATCTACATTGCGTTTCGTGAACACACCAACAGGAAAAGGGCAAGCAAAGGATCAGATGTTGAGGAAACGAGACAGAGTTATCCGAAAGCTCTTCCAGCCAAAACTGATACATGCGTACGACGCCCACAGCCACAATCGCGAGGTGAAGGCCGGGTGGACCGAACTATTCTTTGACCTTATCTATGTGGGAGCATTTACAAAGTATGGGTAACTGCTAAATATATATATTGGTTCAAGTCTACACATAAGTGCTATATATGTGTTTATCTCTAAGGCTGAGATACGGGTATAACATAGATAGTCTTGATCGCGAGGTAAGGGTCGGGTGGACTGAACTATTCTTTGACCTTATCTATGCGGGAGCACTTACAAAGTTTGGTTAGCTGCTAAATATACATATTTGGTTTAAGATTACAGATAAGTGTTCCTATGTGTTTATATCTATGGCTTAGACACGGGTATAATATACACACCCATATTGACGAAGTGAAGGTCGGGTAGACCGGACAAGTTCTGGATCTGGATCGTATCCAAGTGGGAGCACTGACTACCTATGACCAGCAGAAATTTAGGTTCAACACGGCCGATATATG